CTAAGGCATCGGGAAGGAAGGCTTCGAGAAGGAACCCAGAGTTAGGAAATGCATATGTTATAAATAAGTTTTTATGTAATTTTTTTCTTGTGGTCAGTTTCTTCAAAGGCAAATCTGTGTTCATCCTTACTTACACAAAGCTAGTCATGAAATAGTAGCAGATCCCAGCACACACTGCAATGATCCTGAAATCAGTTCATCTGAAATTCTGTAATTTCCAAAGATAGAGAGCATCTTTGAATTGCTTTTTTGCCTTTTTTTTTTCTGTTGTTTTTTAATGGGAAGAGTAGTCTGTGTCATCTGCACCAGTCACAGTTCATTCAAGGATGTGTCCCAAATGTAGGTGTTATATAAAAGTAAAATTTCTTTTCTCTGTCTTTATTCTCATTGTGTCACAGTGCTTGGAGTAGAAATAAATCCTTTTTTCCTGACACTGAAGAAGCAACAGTGGAATGAAATTCTGTTGGTAGAACTCAATTGCTCGCCTATGTTACTCTGAATTGATGTTTAGTAAACCAACCAGCAAGCTTGACCTGCAGGTGCTGCTCCTGCTTCTCACATTCCCTGCCTTTCTCATGATTGTAAGCATACTTAGCTGTTAGGATGCCAAATTTAATAGCTTGGGAAGGTCCTAGACTAAGTTACAAGTCTAGGAAAACAGAAGTCCTTTAAGGTGCTTTAGATGAAAGTGGTAACTGAACACCAGTCTCTTACTTAGAAAAATACCAGCTTTGCCAAACAACCTTTTCAAAAGAACGTGTCACACAAGGTGCAAGTGCAAATTATGTGTTTTGCCTGGTAGCAGCAGCAGGCTTCTTAAGTATCTGTGAACCTACTTTGATGCCGTGAGAGCTGGTCCTTCAGCTAAAATAATTTTTTTTGTGTTTGACCCTACAAATTCTGGGTTTGGTTATTACAGACAATTTCATGGGACTTCTATAAATTTCATAAGGTTATCTGTAACCTCTGTTCCCTCCTCCTCCCAGGTGGTCCTGGTACTGAGATGGAAAGAACTCAAATGGCTCACTGGTGCTATTACCTTAAGTACTTGGGTCAAGTACCAATCTTGATATTTTTCCTTTTTTGTGTTTGCACTTACATGCTTGCTGAACTGGAGTGCCTACTTCTATTGTACCTTCATGTGATTCTTTCAGCTGGCATTTGGGCTCTAGAAACTTGGGATGAAAGCTTGTGCCAGGGTAGTGTGTCATGCAGTGTTGGCTAATGAGATTCCTTGAAATCCCTTCACATGTCAAATAAATTTTTCAATAAGGGGGGGCAGTCTGAAGACATTGCAAACCCCTAAAGCCTTAGTGAATCCTGAATTTGGCCGTCTTAACTATTTATAGAACACTCTATGCCTATTCTAAATATATTTTTCTCAAGGAGACCTCAACTCCCTGCTCCACCTCTTCAGTTGGATCAGCAATGCTGTTGTGATCTGTTAGCAAAAATTCCTTCTCTAGTTCTGTGGCAGAGCTGCAGATGTTTTTCGTTCAGGCCTTGAAGGGGAAATTATATGCCAGGCAGAGCTCAAGGATTGGATTTAAACTGCAGCCAGCCAGGTAGAGAGATATTGATGATATATTGGATCATTTCCTGTATATTTTTTCACATTCCTCTTCTGCTGGTAGTTCTAGAGTTCTGGAGAGGAAAAATTGAGAGAATTATTAGCAATGTACAATGTACACCTTTCCGTGTCAGGAGTCTTCAGCCTTGCAAACTAGGCTTAATGGTAAGCACTCAAAACATTTTCTTTCCAGAAGGAGTGTAAAGAGTGATCTGTGGGCAGAAAGCATTTTTTATTGCAAGGATGCTTGAAACTGGTCTTCTCTTTTTCTTTCTCTGCTATGGGGAAAAGTATCTCTTTGGTGGGAGTACCTACCTGACAGTGCTTGGAGAACTGTGCTTCTTCCTGAAGTGTTTGCTACTCACCAGGAGCAGAAGTCTCTTCTTTGCTAGCTGGTGTTTTGTGACCCCTCTGGCAGTACAGCAGGCAGTACAGGTTTTGTCCAGTGCAAGCTTTGCTTTGTGTTAGTGGAGGCAGGAGTGCTGTAAGATGGTATAGAACTGACATTTCAGGAGTGGCTCCTGTTCTCAATTGGCTTTGGAGGTGGGTCATGTGTGTTCACTGTTATTTTCCAGGCAGATGAACATGGGCTGTTTAGAAAGCAGGGCTTGAGCCCATCATGCTATTGGTTGAATGGGGTCAGACTCATTTTGCTCCCACATAAGGACAAAGGATCTCTTCAGGCCAAGGAGAGCAACTCATCCTATGGTAGATTCCATAGTGGAAAATCTCTACCTTTTAGAGAAATCATATGATTTTCTTTTTCAGTTAAAGGCTCTGGCTGTACCAGAGAATAGAAGTTTTGCTGCAAAGGGCAAACTGCAGAACTTCACAGAACACTTTTCATCCTTCAAGTTTAAAACTATTTAGAAAAGTGCATACTTTATTGAGTCCTATAGGTCTGAACAGTTTCTTCTGTAGGATAGTTACATTCTGTATGCCTATCTCAGGAACAGTCCTGAGTGGAAAATTCTGGGCTCAGTGTAGAGGCAGGATTGGCCATCAGAACCCTACATATCCTGAATAGCTCTGCTGCCCCACAGTCAGGGCCAGTAGTGATTTAGGAAGTAAAAGCAATTGCTCCCTGTCTCTGTGATGTGATTGACCCAGATTTTACTTCGTGGGTCATGAACTCAACTTACAGGTGGGCTGTAAAGCACTAAGGCTGCTTGCACTGTTTCAAGGACAGGATTCAGAAGCAGCGTGTCAGTAGTGGCTGCAGAAGTCACGTCCATTTAGGTACCTGTTAGAAAACCCCTTCTGGGTACAACGAAGGAGCGACTGCTACTTATTTCGCCTCTGGGATAGAGAAGCCTGTGCAAGGCTTTGCCACTCCACAATCAGGGTAACATAGCTCACTGTGTATCTAAGCCTCAGAGAACGTTTTTGTGGTTGACAGAAGCTTTTCCTGGCTATTAGCCTTTGAGGATGAACAGGGCAGCATGTGGCAAGATCACAGAATGGGATTAGCTCAGGATTTAACAGGAAGAGTTTCTTAGCACTCCTTCAGAGCTATTTCCTTCTCTTGCAGCCCCTCCAGCTGCATGAAATGGAAAGGGTTATGTTCTTGCCTGCCTGGCAGGAAAATCATCCCAGCTCAGTGTAGCAGAATGGACTGGGTCCAGTGCTCTTGGAAGGAATGAAACAGATAAAGTGTATTTAACAAGGAATTTCACATGGGGGGTTGCATAGTTACACTGAATATTGCCCCAAGACACATTCTGCTTCGCACAGGCCTCTTCCTGCAGTCTCCTTGGCTTTTCCAAGGAATCAGTGTCTGCATAGCTTTGGATTTTGCTCTGGTCGTGGCTCACCTCTGTGCCTGCAGATAGCATTTCCTTTTTCCTGTCCTATCAAGCAGGAAGGGACAGGTGAGTCTCTCCCAAAGCACTGCAATGCCACTCAGCCTAGTGCAGCCCTCGGTGCCTTGCGTTGCTGCTGCTGCACTCTGCTAGGGAGACCCGCTCAGTTCAGGCAGTATCTGTGATGCCATGGGGATGCATTACCTCAGGAAATGCTCTGCAGTACCTGGGGCTATGCCAGGATGGGCGCCTTAACTGTAGCTCTGACCATTTGTGTTTCAGTAAAAAACATTCCTAATGTGTCTGTCTGTGGTTCCTGGGCTGGCAGTGTGATTGGCAGCTTTCTGGCTCACTCCATTATGCCTCTGGCTAGTTATTCCCACTGATGTCTCTCTAAGACTGGCTTCCTTGTAGTGGAAGGTCTCCATTTGACCACCCTTGATACAAACAAGCTATATTGCCTTTCAAGAGCTTGAGTCAGTAATGCCTGCCAACAGAAACTAATACGTTTGTGCTTGTAAGGAATAATGGTCTATGCCTTTTGCAGTGCTTATAACAGCTTCAGCATCTCCATTCAGAGTTGCTGGCCTTTGTTCCCTCGTGGCCTGGGTGTGCTGGCTGAACTGAGGCTGGGAAGGAACCAAGAGCATTTAACCACAAGGCAAACACCGGGATTGAAACAGCCCAGACAGCAGGAGCAGACTACAGAGCATTTGAAGTGCAGAGCACAGTTTTAAACCTAATTTGAACACTTGAGGTGCTAATATCTCAGCTACTGTGTGGAGTCTCTTCTCAGTCTGCTGTTCATGTTTCATGAACACGGTATAGGGGTATATATAGAATATCCAGTGAAAAGTCAGCTTTGTGCAACTGGTGAGGGCAGCACAGGGTGAAGGGAAGTGTCTGCTTTTGGTGATGAAAATAGAAATCTGTCTTCATGTCTGCGTTCTGGGGAGCTGATCAGATATTTTATGGCATGATACCGTCATTGCAGCTCGAAGAACCAATTTCAGAGCTGGTTTCTCTAGGTGCCTGGTCCCTTAACTTGTCTCCATTCGCCCATAAGAGGAGGATGCATTGCTTTTGTTCATATTGCCTTGTTAATCAGTAAATGTAAAGCAGATTGTAGAATTAGACCTGCTTGAACTAACATTTGTAGCTATTCATTTGGGGGTCCAGCTCTTTTATTATACCAGAGAGAAAATAAGAATTAATATTCTCCTTCCTTTTTGAGCTGTTGGTGGAACATTTTGATACCATGGAAATGAGTGTCAGTATGGTGAAAAACTGGTTTAGAAGGTGTTTAAGAAGTTAAATTTAGTCCTGGAAGTAGCTTTGCTGTGTTTTACCAGGGGCTTCGGCTTTTTTCCATTGCTCTCAGTATGATGTTTAGGGTGGACTTCACCCATTCCCAGGAATGCAGGGAAGGCCCTGCCATGAGTCAGGTGGGACTAAAAGTTGTCTGAGTGCTGGGCCTGATGTATGTTTGTGTCACACAAACAGTGATGGATACCTCTGATTACCTTTCTTTCCTGCTGGGTATGGAATGAGTTTTAATCCTGGTTAAATCCCGTATCCCAGATCTGTTTGCCTTTTTCTGAAAGGACTTCTCTTTCTGTCTTTTGCAGGCATGGTTCAGAAACTTGACCAGAAGCTGCCTGTAGCCAACGAGTATCTGCTGCTTTCAGGCGGTGTGCGGGAAGGTGTGGTGGACATTGACCTCGATGAGCTGAATGTTTATGCACGAGGCACAGACTATGACATGGACTTCACCCTGCTTGTGCCTGCGCTGAAGCTGCACGACCGCAACCAACCAGTCACGCTGGACATGCGCCACTCGGCTCTGTGCCACTCCTGGCTGAGCCTGCGTCTGTTTGATGAAGGAACCATCAGCAAATGGAAGGACTGCTGCACGATCGTGGACCATATCAATGGAGCTACCAATTACTTCTTCTCTCCAACAAAAGTTGCAGACTGGTTCTATGATTCCATTAGCATTGTCCTCTCCGAGATCCAGAAAAAGCCCCAACGAGGGATGCCCAAGGTGGAGAAGGTAGAAAAGAATGGGACTATCATATCCATCATTTTGGGAGTGGGCAGCAGCCGCATGCTGTATGACATTGTCCCTGTGGTGTCCTTCAAAGGCTGGCCCGCTGTGGCACAGAGCTGGCTGATGGAGAACCACTTCTGGGATGGGAAGATCACAGAGGAGGAAGTCATAAGTGGGTTTTACTTAGTGCCTGCGTGTTCCTACAAGGGGAAGAAGGACAATGAATGGAGGTTGTCATTTGCCAGGAGTGAAGTGCAGCTGAAAAAGTGCATCTCCAGCAGCCTCATGCAAGCCTATCAGGCCTGCAAAGCTATCATCATCAAACTGCTGTCCCGCCCCAAAGCCATTAGTCCATATCACTTGCGGAGCATGATGCTGTGGGCCTGTGACAGGCTGCCAGCCAGCTACTTGGCCCAGGAGGATTACGCAGCCCATTTCCTCCTGGGTCTCATTGACGATCTCCAGCACTGCTTGGTTAACAAGATGTGCCCTAACTATTTCATCCCCCAGTGCAATATGCTGGAGCACCTCTCTGAAGAGACTGTTATGCTGCACGCAAGGAAGTTGTCCTCGGTCCGCTCAGACCCCGCCGAGCACCTTCGAACTGCCATAGAACATGTCAAAGCAGCCAACCGACTGACACTTGAGCTCCAGCGGCGGGGCAGCACCACCAGCATCCCCTCCCCGCAGTCAGATGGAGGGGACACCAACCAGCCTGATGACCGATTAGCCAAAAAGTTGCAACAGCTAGTGACTGAGAACCCTGGGAAGTCCATCTCTGTCTTTATTAATCCAGATGATGTCACAAGGCCCCACTTCAGAATTGATGATAAATTTTTCTGAGCTTTCGGCGGTGTTTCTTGGGATTTTTTATTTTGTTTCTTTTCAAAAACTCTTGCAGTGTGCAGGTTTTTTTGTTTGGTTTTCCTTGATGACTTAGTCTCTTGGTTTTTACATATCCAGCGTAGATTGGATCTGTTGAGAACAATCTGAATAAATTATAAATCCTGGTTCTGCGGGAGGGTGCAGATTTTGAAACAGTATATTACTATTTCATATGCTGCTTTTGATTTTTTTCACCCACCCTGCCCCATTGTCTGTGAGTAGTTTCTAAAGGAGAACATGCATCGTAAACACATGCCACAGTGTAATGTAACAGTTTTTTTCAAGCTTCCATAATTTATGTACGTGGTTGAGCCCGGAGAAAGGACAACTCATCTTTTATTGCTTTGGAAATTCACTTCTTTTTCCATGAGCTTCCATCACCCTAAAGAAATGAGGAGAGACTGGGTTGGAAAGCACTGCTGGTAATTTGATGAGGCCAAATGTGCTGGGCTGAAGCCCAGTTCATCTGTTCTTCACACTTCTCACACTAGGGGAGAAAGTTGACTTTAAAGATGATGCAGCATTTGGGGGAAAGAGTTGTTTCTGTTTTGATCTACTTTTTGAATGTAATTGTTCATTAATTGGACCTTGTACAGTCCAGAGGGTTGTTTCTGCTGCTTTTCCATGCGGAATAAGGTTATGGAATGTTAGTTTTAGTGTGTGTAATTATTCAAAGCCTTATTTAAATTCTATTAAAGAACATACCATTTTAAATGTAATTGCACTAATGAAATCTCTGCCATTACCTCAGTCCCACTGTTTGTGTTTCTTTCATGAATAAGCATCTGTTATTAGGTCTCAGTGTTGCTGATTGCTTGAGACCCCTCAGGTCTCATGGTTTCAGGTGATTTCTTGATTGTCTCTTACAAAAGACTCTTCTTTGTTAGCCTGGCTATGTGTGAGCAATCAGAGTTTTGCATTGGCATATTTCTTTGGATGCATATTGTGTGTTGCAGTGCATATTGCATTAATATGTATTGCATGTTGTTGAAACAGGTTTACCATTAGATAAGGATGTAATGCTAAAGCAGTGGTATGTGCAAAGTGAATCAGCCAGACCTCGAGCAAAGGAGCTACCTTGCTTCTGTAATGCATGTATTAGGCCTGATCCTTTATGGCAGTTACCATTCCGTGGACTCCTGAGGACTTTCTGACTTACCCTGGGACACGTGAGATCTTACTCTGGTCTCATGTTTGCAAAAGTTGTGTTTGTATGTAAACTTGTGGTGCAACAGTAGCCTTGAAAAACACATACGCTTTTCTTCTGTGTGTAGGATAAGATGTATGGTAACAAGGGTTAGTCTGAGCCAAAAATAATTCCAAGAGTTCAAGGATAGAGTGACTTATTGTGGCTGGCTGGCCAGTGACTGATATTTAGGCCTTAAATCAGCAATTTGGGCTTACAGATTATCCCAGAGATGCTGTTCTGATCCAAACTTGATGCATGTGTTAAAATGTGATTATTAGAGCAGGTTGAAGTATTTTTTAAATATTTGACAGACAAATGAGGTGCATATCTAGTAAATTCTAACTGATAAAAATTGTGTATGAAAAATGTGTCACTTTTTTTGCCCAGCCTTTCTGGTAAAGAAACCAGGCTGGTGGAGCAACACACCAACAGCTTTGGAAACTGCTTTATTAGATGGCAGGGAGGTTTCAATACCTGATCTAGTGCCCAAGTCATGTCTTAAAACAAACTTTGGCTCCTCCACCTCTTGGGCATATTTACAAACTTCACACCATTGCTGTAGCCAAAATGTTCACATTTACCTGAATTTACTGGTACACACTCACAAGAAGCTCTCAGATGGCTAGATGGATTGGATGAGGATTTAACTTTAAAGCACAATTGGCTAGTGATCATGAGCCCCAGTGCAGCTGCAGTTATGGTCCTGGGAAGGATATGGATTGACTTCAGTGGAATCAGAACCAGGTCCTAACTGTGTGGCTATTGCCAAAGATGAGCCTCCATGTAAACCTGTGTAACCTGCCAGGGGAGGCAGGAGAAACAACTGGGAATCCTCTCCGGAAGTGCTTGGATCATGCAAATTTGCTGAAACAGTCTTTTCCCCAGTCTCTGGGACTGCTGTTTATTGAGAGAAGAGTCTGGGCTTCAGGATGAAGTTTCCCATCACCACCTGAGAAATCTGCTCAGCACAAAGCAACGGTATCCTGGCAGGCAGAGTACTTTCCTGGGAGTCCCTGCTCCTGAGATATGCAGAAACACAGCCTTCCTCATGCCAGTTCAACGTCCCAGTGACCAGCAGTTTGACTAGCCCATGCCAAGCTCTGGTGTGTGCTCCTTTTTTTTGGTTTTAATTAAAAAACATTTTGAAAAGTATCCATCTTGTTCTTCCTGCTTTGTGTGTGTTGGGGGGGTTTTTGTGGGGGAGAGGAGGCTTGGCTTTTTACTGGACTGAAAAGTAATTTTCCAGATAGGTCTGCGAGAATGTTATATCCTCTACCTGGACCATCTGTCTCCCGAGGAGGCAGAATCCTAATCTCTGGTAGGTTTATGTCCGTCTAGGATTTGTTCTCTCCACATACATAGTTCAACTTAATGAAGGAGGCTGCCAGCCCAGAGAGGTGATGTGTGCTTTGTATATCAGAAAACACTGAAGATTTTGTTTTCTTCCTCTCCTATGGTCCCCTCTTGCCTTTGAGTATATGCTGGAATAGACTTGCAAAGTCCCTAGGTCTGTATGTGGAATTTCAAAGTAGTCAGTGGGTTTAGATACAGATGATGTGTTATTCTTCACTCCTCCTTGAAAGTTTCAAGGGGACCATGTCATTCACACAATCATTTTAGAGCACTCAGCCCCGTGGGGTTAGAGACTTGGCCAGTCTGACAAGCACTGGAATAAGTGGGGACTTGCTTTAAACTAGCAATGTAGGCATCTTCCCTACTGATGTCAAGAGGAGACAATCAGTGCTGTGAGCCTGTATCTCCATGTGGGCTTTGGTTCTTCATCCACTGCTATGGTGGATAATATTCTTTTTTGCTTTGCTTTTGCCCATTAGCTTCCTAATGGCTTCCTGCTGGCTTCTCCCTGCGGTGAGAGATGTTGCAAAAGGACTGGGACAATTAGTGAAGGGCTGGCTGCATGTGTAAGAATGTAGGAGGTCTCATTTGTGAATCTGCATATAACTGACTCCTACACTGTTAAAAGGGAGAGTCCCAGCCAAGAGAGTCTGGCCTTGAGGCATCAGAAGGGTGGGGAGGAAGAAAAAGTGCCCTTCAGAGGCTCCACTTCCACTTGTCAGTGTGAGCCTTCTTGGGCATCCTGGCTCTGGTCCTACTCTTGGAGAAAGCTTTTGCTCCCTCTTTTTGCTTCTGGCCAATACCACAATATGAGGAGCAGCTAATTTGACTGGTTCCAGTTGTTGTAACTTCTGTGAGATGTTGGAAAACCTGTCACTTCTTCAAGGGGACACCTAAGCTGCTGCAGAGGTGACAAAACCACCAGCCAGTGGGGGGGTTACTCTCTCTGCTGCATTGAGAAAACTCATTTTAGAGCAGAAGGAAACAACAGGCCAAGAGCTTTGTGAAAAGCTGCAGTCTCTGCTCCTTCAAGCATGTTATGTGAAGCTTCAGTCACTTCTGTCTGGCTGTGATAAATCATTTTATCCACATTTTCCAGTGCTTTAGCCTGGGGAACTGTTGGTGCTCTAACCAGAAAACTACAACTGAGCATCAAAAGCCTCTGAAAGAGCTGTTTTTTAGTGTTCTGCCTATTCTGTTGTCCTTCTGTCACTGTTAGAAATAGTGCTAATTTTGATCTAAATGCTTGGACTCCTCTTGATTGCCTTGTTGCAGTGGAGAGCAACCTTCTTCTGGCAGCTATGGTGGTTCTGGGCTCGGCAGGGACACCCGAACTCTGTGGCCTTCCACTGCTTGGTCTCCTCATGGGTACGCTGTGAGATAGGCTGTGTCTGCTCCAAATTGACAAGTCAGTGACTGAAACAAGCACTGAAAGATGGCAGTCACTCTTGACATGAGATGGCCAGCACTGTGGGACGTATGAAATGATGTCCATAGTCCCTGCAGGCACTGTGTTCGAAAACAAGTGCAAGGTGACTGGCTTTGAGCAGGATGCTGTCCCAGTGCCAAGAATCCACCCAGAGCTAGTGGTCTCCAATCAGTTGTTTACATTTTCTGATAAATCTGGGGATACAGGGGAAAATGACTACATAAAAGCCTTAGAAAGCTTGAGATTCCTGAATTCCTCCACTCTCCAAAGGCTGTAACTGGGGCCTTTACCCAACTCCACACAGCTGCAGCCTCTGAAAACTCACCTGTAACAAAGGTTTGTTTGGGTGTCTTGCCACTTTGCTTTCTGTATAGTGATGAATGCACATGGCAGCTGGGTAATCACACCAATAGTGTCCAAGAGGTGGTGGCTGGGGCTGGAGGATCACAGGACAGGACCCAGATCCTATTAGACTGCATTGGGAGACTTGAAAATATGCTTAACGTGCACTTTTCTGGACCAAGCTGATTGTGATCAGACCAAAAGTAAGCAGGCATCTACCATATTTTACTAAACCATGCATAGTACAAGTGAATATGGCAGAGGGAAAGGAAGGTAGACTTTGCTAATGACTGTTTCTTAGAAAAAAATTTTTAAAAGGTGTGCATAGTTGGTGCCTAGAATTTCTTAGAAACATCTGTCACTTTTTGCAGGTTCAGTGCTGGATACATTTTTGCCACTTTGGTTTATATTAAAGTGAGCATGTTCGAAAGGTCACTGGACAGCTGAGTGTAATAATGTTCACGTTCTACTGGCATTGCTCAGTGGTTCAGCATGCAAATAGCTTGTTCAACTTCAGCAAGTACATCATCTCCCTCCTGCCAACCTTGCTTGGGGTGAGCTAATGGACTTTTAACATTATACAGCTTGGAGAGCGACTGTCTCTAATAGCTCCTGATTAGGCTCTCCAGAAAGGCAAATAACCATCATGGGGCAAAGGCTAAACAAGGGGAAGGAGGCAAAAGAGCACAGAGATTGAAAAGTTACTGACCAGGGCTCTTGCTGACACGTTTTGTATTTAGGGAAATTCAGCATTATATTTAGCACATTTTGGCTGTCTGTCAAGTGAATCCCAATTTATTTCCTCAGAATGCTTTTAGAATAGTGATACAATAGCCCTCACTCCCTTCTCCTCCCCCTTTACCATTTATAATCTATTATTTTGGGGCTGCTCTGAAGAACTATTGTGTTTTCCCTCACTCCCTTCTCCTCCCCCTTTACCATTTATAATCTATTATTTTGGGGCTGCTCTGAAGAACTATTGTGTTTTCCTATTATCGTTGTCCCTGGCTCAGCAATGTGCTTCCAAGCTGAATGTAGGCTTTTGGGGGTTATTTTTATCTTACTGGCCTTCTGTGGTAGAGGAACATGCTCTCATTCAGTCTCCAGACAGCCTGATTTGCCGAGCAGAGATGTGGGTGCATATTGGGAGCATCAGGCTCTCTTTAAACTGACTCAGCCCTGTCTTTTCCTCTCAGTTTTTGTGTGTTAGGAATATCAACATGGAAGACATGACTGAGGTCTTGCTAGGCACAGAGAAGACATGATATGTGATTCTGAAGTCAAGCAAGCTCTAGTGTAAAGTGAACATTTAGCCCTAACAGCCACTTTTCTCCCTGATTCTCAATCCCCTCTGACCCCTTTCTTTTAGCTTTCTTTTGGGGAGGTGGAGAGGAAAGAGATGAGCT